CTTTTATTAAGGTACCAGAACAAAAGGACTCCAGCCTGTAAGGCGGCAGGAGCCCCGAACAAAGCTTGGTCACAGTTTTTATACTTCTCCAATTCCCCCTCCCAGCTCCCAAGTACATTTCCTGAGCATGCACGAGCCTTCAGCACCTGCTTCTGCTCCCAACCACATCATGCAACCACATCCTCTGCACAGCTTAAGCGAGTTAGGCAAAGATATTTCATGTTAGCAACCCCCAGAGCAAGTGAGGGCTAGGAACTTGAGATTATATGTTGCTAAAGCTAAATATCACGCCAACCTTGGAAGGCGGGCACACTTGCACCTAATTTCACAACTATGCATTTTGCTCTTTGTGGGGTCCACTGCTGGCTGCCCACGATAGCTTGGAGTGCACTCTGTGTTGCTAGACCCCCATTATGTGGGCGCAAGCTATTTTGAGCTTACAGCTAAGTTTCACACCTCCTGTTTTCCAGGTTGTGGGCCCCTTGCAAGCATTTCAGCACATTTACCCACATCCTTAGCAGCCATTCCAACCACGGGTGTTTGACCTCGTGCTGTGCCCCTAACAGCTCGTGGGTGTTCACGTGCCATTTCCTCCCTGTGGCCTCCACATGCATGGCCCTACTTCCTCTTCAAAATGGTGTCGGTGTGGTCTCAACTCCACATATAAGCCTGCATCGGGGTTACCCCCCCGATCCTGACCCTTCAGTACCAATAGTAATCTGTGCTTTGGGTGCAATCCCAAAACATCTGGAGCACCACTTGAAGATAATCAGCACTGACAAATTCACCATCAGTAAATTGCAAAAGGCAGCTTTACTCAGAACAGCCTATATTCTGCAACGATACCTTTAACACCATCAAACAACAACATCTGCTATCCAGCACCTTGGGAAGGACTTGATAGGTGGATAAAAATGCCAAATCCAGCCTAAACTTCTGGCTGACTGTGCAACCAACCATAATAATAATTTATTAAATTTATATGCCACCTGACTCCCAGCAACTCTGGGCAAAAACTTAATTTAAAACTTGTGGGAAGACCCTTTTATCAAAACATGTTCAAAAATTAACCTGCACAATATGAAAGGCTCTTTACTCATTCAATAAAGTCATTATGTTTCTTCAGTTGCATTTCTAAAATATCAATTAAAAGTCCAAAAGGTATTGCCCATTTATAAAGCAAGATAACATGGCATAAATGATTGATGATACTATAATTTGTAGTTTCCAGGCCAAGGTTGCTGCCAAAATTTTTGCATCAGCATTTAACAAAAAATTGGGCAACAGCTTGCACACCCTGTTGTACACCTCCCTTAAGACCGCAGAGTGCGTTGGCAGGTGAGGTTGGGGGCCTTCCCAGCGAGGTGGGGTGGGCCGTTGGGGGGTTGAGCTGTTTTATGTATGGGGGGCAGAGATCGTGACATGGATGCCTGGGCCTGGGAGGGAAACCAGGACAGGGGCTAAGGAGGCAGACAGGACCAGCCCGATGGTGATGGGCAGAGGGAGACAATGGCGGGAATCCAAGGTGGGCCACCCCGGGGGACACTGGGCCTGCGGCTTGAAAGCGGCCCCTGTCTGGCCCTCCGCTTCTACCATCGTGCAAATCCTCTGTGGCCTGGACTCCCTTTGAATGCCGGGTCCGTGTGTAACAAAGCTACTGACATGCATGATTTTGTCCTAGAGGAGGGTACCAACCTGGCATGTCTTACTGAGAGCTGGTTGGGCCTGGAGAGGGGGTTCCCCTCTCAGAAATGTGCCTGCCTGGGTTTTGGGTTCTGCACCAGCCGAGAGCTGTGGGGAGAGGGGAGGGGGCTATTGTCATCCGGGAGTTGTTACAGGCTTTCTGGGGCCCCACTCCGCAGAAAACTGGATGTGAGGCGCGGTGGCTGAAGTTGGGCTTAAGGGAAGAGCTGGGATAGCTGCTGGCGTACCGCCCTCCCTGCTGCCCCACATCATCCCTGCCTGAGCTGCTGGAGTCCGTCACTGGGCTGACAATAGAGTTCCCGAGGCTGTTGGTGCTGGTCAATCTGCCAGCCGGTGACATTGTGCCCGGGGCAGCTCAGGAGTTAGTGGTTTTCATGGGACCCACAGACCTCTCCCCAGCCACTGACAGCCCAACACATACCTGTCGTGATCCCACTGCACGTACACACACACACACACAAGGGAGTCTATGGTCTGATACAGCAGCAGCTTGCCTGACAGCAGCGTTGTTGAGTCCAGTCCGGCAGTGCAGGAGGCAGGAGCGCAACTAGTCCAAGACAAGGCACACAGCAGCAGGTTCCAGCAGAGACACGAGTGAGGCACGAGCAATTGTGAAGCACGAGGGGGGTACTAGACAGTTGTCGTCCCTGAAGCCTCCCCTTCTACCAAGCCTTGTTTTATAATGGCAGCCACGTTCCTCATTTCAGAGGGTGAAGCTCCCTTCTTGCGAGTAGCCTTGCCGAATGCCTTTGCAACGCTCTTTTCAGCGCACCTCGTTCTCACATCAGGTGGTTCTACATTTTCCACCTTCCACCTTCTACATTTATCTGAGACTAACTCTGGCTGTTGCTTGCTGTCCAACTCCACCTCTGATGACCGCTCAGCCTGCTGTTCGTCCGGTGCTGCCTACGACTCTGACTCTGAATCAGACTTAAAGCGGACCATGACGCTACCGGAGGCGGCACGCTATATCTGGTCTTTGTCTCAGGGCGATCAAGATGCGATCTCCAGGGGAGGATGTCCATCAGCCTGTTGCTGTGGACAGATCACTCCCTGGTTGCCTTTCAGGTCACTGGTGTCACCCCTCCCTGCAGGGAGACAGGGCCCATTCAATTGGCCCGCCCCAGGCAATCAATGGACCCAGTGGGTGGAGTTCCAGAGAGAGCCTGGGGTTTTCCTGAGGATCTGGTGGGTGGTTCAGCCAAGGCCCTAGTCGCTGCCTGGAATGGGTGGGTGGCTGGGGCCTTGGATCATATCAGTCTTATGTGGCTTCTCTCTGTGCGCCGATCCTGGGGTGCACGTTGGTTTATTAAGCAGCTATGAAGCACCAGAGGAAAATCCTGGAACACTGTTGGAAGAAGACTCAAAGTGAGCCTGACCTGACAGAGACGATAAGGATGGCAAAATGTCAATCTTTCTCTGCCCTTATTGCATCCACTGATAGTCCTGTTTAGGGTGACCCGGTCCCTTTTGGATAGGGAGGGCTACCCAGAACATCTGCTGGACCACTGTGAGGATTATTCAAGCTATCTGGTGGATAAAGTTAGTCAGATTTGCTCCGCCTTGGACTCTGACTAGGCAGGGCAGGCCAAGGTGCCTGGGGCACAATCTGGTGGTGTGATCTGGGATGGGTTTGAGCCAGTGACTCCCAAGGAAGTAGCAAAGGCTCTCTGTGCTGTCAGCTCAACCACCTGTTCACTGGATCCAGGTCTCTCCTGGGTCATGAAAGTGGCTAGGGAGGTGACCAGTCATTGGGCCCATGCTGTGGCCTCTTTGATGAAGGAGGTGGTGCCCTCGGCCTCGAAAGAGGCAGTGGTGCACCTCCTCCTCAAGAAGCCATCCTTGGCTGCAACAGCCTTCGATAACTATTGGCCAGTCTCTAGCCTTCTCTTTCAGGGGAAAGTTGTTGAGAAGGTGGTTGGGGTGCAGCTGATGAAAACCCTTGCAGAGACAACTGCAGAATTCATCACTTAGGAAACAAAAATAAAATTGCACAGATGCAGGATGGGGTATCTGGGTTGGTAAGAGTACTTGTGAAAAACATATAGTGTACTATAAGTAAAAAAAAGAAAAAAACAGTAGCCAATTGTAAACTGAGCCAGCAATATAATTAGGAAAATGGAATTTTAGGAGCCACCAACAAAAGCATAATTTCCAAATCATAGTAATCATTCAGTTTTATTCTGCTTCGGTCAGATCCTACCTCATGGACTGTGTCTACTTCTAGGCATCACATTTCTGGAATTCAGAGGAATTAGGTTCAAAGCTTGTCCACAAAAACAATCAGAGGACTAGAAAGTAAACTCTATGAAGAGAGTTTCAAAGAGCCAAGAGAGGCAACTGATGATACAAAATTCTTACAGGAATGTCACAGGAGCAGTAGAGATTTGTTTTCATTCGAGGGGGTAGGATGTGGAATAACAGGTTTAAGTTACAGGAAGGTAGATTCTGATTTAATGCTGGGAAGGGTATTTTCCCCCCCCCGACAGTAAGAACAATTTGGCAGTGGAACCAATTGTTCCACACAAAGATGATTTATTTTATTTAAAACATTTGCATGGCTGCCCACCTTGAAACACAACGCTGGGCAGCTCACAACAAATAATGGGTTCCACTGCCCGTTATGCCCAATGACACCTTTATTGGAGGCCTCAGGTAAGGCCCAACCACCCATCTGTAGCAGATACAGGATTTAACACGGATTCCTGCAGTGAGCAGAAGGTTGGCGTGAGGACCGGATCCGGCCAGGTCGTAAGCAGGTGGCAGAGATCAGAGGGCCTGTTCCAGCCACCACACGTGCAGGATCTAGAGCTTTGGGGAAGACGAGGAAAGGACCCCCACGCAATCCAGTGTCTCTGAACACAGCTTCTTTTTGCCCAGAGAAACCAAAGCAAGCACTCTGAGATTCCAACATGCACCACTTTTTCCAGGAGGAAGCTGGAAAATCTCTGCTTGCTCTGTCTCCTGAATGGATAAAGAAAAAAAAAGGATGAACAAAACATACAGTGGTACCTCGGGGTTACGAACGCCTCTGCTAACGAACTTTTCGGGTTGCGACCACCTCCGGCCGCACCCATTTACCTCGGGTTACGAACCGGGTCCGCGGGCATTTTCCGCCTGTTCCACGTGGTCTGCGGCCGTTTTCCCGCCCCTGACGCGTGGTCCGCGGACGCCAGAACGGATTAACGGTAATTACATTGAACCTAATGGGAAAATTTGCTTCAGGGTGCGACCAATTCGGGGTGTGACCAGAGTCACAGAACGAATTAAATTCGTAACCCGAGGTACCACCGTAATTGTAATTGGAGCAAAAATAAAACATGATGGAAGCAGGGGGATTTGCCTCTGACCACTCTCCTGGCTTCAGGGGAACAGAAGCGGCTGGATCAGGCCACGCGTCAAGCATGTGCTGGGCTTGGGGACGACCAGAGCAGGGGATGAAAGAGGGGACGAAACAACTGCAACAAAGAAACAAGGCACGGGGGCTCCGTCCCAGGCGGAGCGGGCCCCGCAGGGCGCCGAGCCGAGAGTCCCAAGCCGTGGCTGTAGTTTGCCCGCCGGCCGGGCTTGAGTGGCCTGAGGGCCCCTCCTCCGTTCCCTATACCCCTATCTGCCCCGGCCAGGGAGTGCTC